AGGATAATCGTTTGAGTTATACAAGATACATATATACTTACGTACGTAAGTAAATACAGATGTCACGAAAAAATCTCTTATGAATCTATTTAAATCCATTTTACAATCCGTTTTGGAAAAAGAGTCCTTTATTCTGTCCGTTCGTACAACGGTCACTCGAAAACATCGTTCAAATGGATTCGACAGCCGTCAGAATGGATATTTTCATTTAAATATGATACCCGAAATGTTTCGCGATTACTTGCTTTACTTCGTACAAGGAAGTAAAAATGTTTTTAATTCATGCTTTTAGATATAGTTTTTTGAAGCAGCGAATCAATGTAGATGACAGAATTTAAAATTTGAATGTTAATAAAGGAGATTAAAGGGAGTATTCACTTTTCTTGAAGACAAGAATCTTTCCTCATATTGTAATATTTAATTACTTTATCTGACATTTTCTGATCCTTCTGCATTAACGTCTCTACAACACCCAAATTACTTAAGGTAAATCCATGTAAATACCAAAACCGCGTTAAAGAAGAAATGAAAAATAGAGACTTTATTAAAGAGGAAACTGTGCAACAATTTATTTAAATCGGAGCTATAGTAAGGCAAAATATTATTAAATATAACTTTTTACATTGAGAATGAAGTTTTCAATAATTGCATCACGATACGTTTCATAATAATACGCTATTGTGACTCAATTGGAAAAGTAAATATGTGCGTGTTATCAGCATATATCAGAAATTTCAAGTTTCTTAGAAAACAATGGTCTTATTTGCATTCCTTATCATCTTCACTTCAAGTGCTACTCAAAATTAAGTGGGAATTAAATGCTTAGCTTAGTATATTTTGCAGAATTTTCATGATATGTCTTTCTAATTAAATCGGTAACGATAACATAGTAAGAGTTATTACTTCTTACGGAACTAAATTAGCTGAAATTAAGATATACATAAGGCTAACTCCTGATTAACTAGTGCGCATATTAAGTGGGCTTTTGTTTAAAAAAGCTTCTTTTTTGGGAACGAGATGAAAAATTACTTCTACAAACAATCCAAATAAAGCAAAATTTATGCGGGAAACACGAAAATGCATTATATCTCATACATCAGGCTTGATGTCGGAGACAGAAAGACCGATTAATCAGAAGGGACATTATTTCACACCTCGAGAAACAGACATGTAAGGCTTTATGAAAAACTTCCCTTTTAATAGAGAAATTTAATTTTTTTATTTTAACTAATTAATTTCATTAGCTTAAAACGGACGTTAGTCCCGAATGGAGTATTAATCTTGAAACGGCATTTTGCGTTGAATACCTGTAAACAACGTACGACTTTTCAAATTGTTGCCCCCAAATATTATAGTCATGTGTTATATTTAAAGAATGCTCGTGTTTAGCGTTGTGAAATAACAACGGTAACTAGAGCTACCAAAATTTGAATAACGTAATCCTCCACCCGAACATGGGCTCTTGGAAGCCCGAATTTTGGATTTTGGATTCGTTTTATTATATACCTAGTACTTTGTAAAACTTTAACGAATTTTTGATTAACAGGCATAACGATTTCAGAGCCAACATTGGCACACTGTGCGGGATAAAATAATTTCATCTCCTAAATATTTCAAATTAATATTTATGTAAATTTTTATCCACTAAATATTTAAATTAAATAAAGATAAAGAAAGTAAAAAATAGATAATCATGAAGTTTTAAACTAAAAAAAAAAAAAAAATCTTCATGTTTGCTTACTTTCTTTACCTTTATTTATTTGAAATATTTAGGAAACTTACTAAAAATGTTGATAAGAGAACTGAAGAGGAGCATGTAACTTCGCCAATAGCTGGAAATTATTAACCATTTCGTGTCAGCTGTTAACATAACTTTTAAAAGTTTGATCTTCCAAGCAGCTCTAAGCTTCTGGTTTATTAAAGAATGCATCTTAAGGCTCCAACTCATACTGAAAAACATTACTATGTCATACCTTCCATAAAAGTTAACGGCAAAGACCTTTTTCAAAACTTTAAAGGGTATATAAGAACTTATTAAGGGAATTAATTTTTTCAAAATTTATTAAATTCTAATTATGAGTACTTCGTTCAATAAAAATGGACACAACTGTGACGGCTATTCTATCTGGGAAGCGTCTAAACACCTCAACGTAACAATATGCGAAAGAAAAATTTAGCCTGGTTGCATGAAGGAAAATTCTCTTAAAGAGGACGTATTAATTGTCCAATGAACAACTATTGTGATTTATTGAAACTAGCTTCTTTTTTTTTTTTTTTTTTTTGAACAATTCACTAATCATTCTTTCAAAAAACTAAATTATATAGTGGTTAAAAGGTGATAAAAATGAAGCGGCTGTGCAAGAGTTTATTGATGCCATCGTAATTCATTGCAGACGCAGAAATCTGAAGAAAGTGTGACGTGAAAGACGAAATTTCCATCCCGTTGCTTGGAGGAAAGCTGTTGAATACACTTTTGAAATTATATATAAAAAAAGACAATACTCGAAAATTTACCTTTTATTTAAAAAATTCAATAAAACAAAACAAAATTTCAAAATTTCGGATTTTATATTACTCTCGAAGAGACTTTTTTTAACGCTTTGTGTGTTATCTTTATTTAAATATTATGTTCTTCGCACTTAAATCATAAAATTCAGTTCAACGCAAAAATTTATCACAAAATAATTTAAAAAGAGCATGTCTTTAGAATTTCCGATACACAGTCTCGGGCGCTGGAGATAAAAAGTGTTTTTTTTTTTTTTCGTACAGTGTTGCCATTGCTTACCTTGAAAACGCTGAGTTTCTTAATAAAAAACTTATAAATGTTTTGCAAAATATGATATAGATAATAAAACAAATTCCAAATTTGGGCGTACAGACGCTCATACTCGGGTGCAGACGTACGTTATTCAAATTGGATTGCTTTATTCAACATTTGATGACTCTAGGTACAGTTGTTTTATCACAATGCGAGAAACATACATGCATTTATGCAGATTCCTCATTATTTAATTTCTTTAAATATAACACAGGGCGATAATATTTGGTGGATGCAATTAGATTTGGTGGATTTAGACTTTTAAAGTTTTCGTCACAAAATGCCAAAACGAAATTAATAGCTCTTCTGGGCTAACGCCCTTCGGGCTAATAATAATATTGAAGAAATAATGTACATTCATACTGCGAACAGATATTTGCTTCAAAAGTGGATTCAATGAAACGAGTAGATATTGGATCTTTCTTTGAAACGACTTCATACTCTGACAGTACTGATGATTTGAAAGCGCAAAGCTGGTTGAATATTATTAAAATTTGAATAAATTTATTTGCTAAGAAGTTTTACTCTCTTAATATGATTTTAAAATTATAATATACAGTTTTACATTCCTCACTATTATAAATAATGCAAAAGAAAAATTTTTTTTGGCATCATGCAGTTTTTATAAGAAGATGCGGTATCGCTAAGGTCCGAATGTGCCGGATTATTGGACTTCTGCTGCAATGAAAATTTAGAATTTCCCGAGAAATTTCCGCGAATAACAAAAACGCACAAGGTTATCCTTCCATGAATAATAGTGACAGTAGCCATAATCTCAAGAGTTTTTGTTAATAGTGAACTTGTTATAACATTTAACATAAAACTGGAACAACAATGATATTTATGCAATAGTGCAGATAGAGGATAAAAGTGAGCGGAATACTAGAATTTTAGCATTGATCGTAACTCCCCCTCAAATTTTTATGAAGAACAGCCAGAAGGGATGCATTCGGAAGCCTCCTACCCCCTTTCCTCTACCACCAGACCACTCGATAGGAGTTTCGGGTGGCTAGTATTCTAAGTTCGCCCATTCCGCGCAGATAAATGGGACCTAATGATGCGGCGGCCAGCGTCGCTAACTATTTTACCAACTAGACTATAGTTAAACATAAGAATTCACACGTTTAATTATCACATTATTGTTATTACTAATTAGAAGGAAGAAAGTACTATCTACTGCTAAACGTATTAGAATGCTATATAAAAAAAAAAAAAAAAAAAAAAAAAAAAAAAAAAAAACATGAAAAATCCAATAGTCCAAATGTCCAATCCTAAATCCAATAGCATAGTACCAAATGTGATCCGCTAGGGTATGATGGGTATATCTATATTTATCGACACCTCCTTTATGTTTATTTCCCTTGCAGCTGAAATGACTATTTTATTACTTCTGTTCCTAGCAGGTAAGATCTGATATTTTCTTCTCGTATAGTTTAGAATTAAAATGGTAAATTCTGTTTATCTACAACACCAGTAAAAATACGTTATATAACTTTTAATTCCACATTAGAATGATATGCGATTTTCCTTTGTTAGCCAGTATAAATGCCTGTTTAAAATTCTTTAGAGTATAAGTTTTTTCAGTCGCTTTCTTCCCATTAATTCTAAATTTTCCTTCAAATTTCTTAAACAATAAAAGCTTTCGAAAGAATCAATAAATGCTTACATTCTGGGATATTAAAGATGAAAAGTAACAGATTTAGGAAGAACTTAAGCATATATATTTTCCTTTTCATTCTTTATTAGCAATTTGTATTTTTCTATAGATTCTCTTAGAAATGTTTCCCTTTTTCCCAATAACATTTTATTTAAACGTATTTTGAAATAATTCCCAGTCATGATCAGTTTTATTGTTTTAAAAAAAATAAGAAGTTGAAATATCAAAACACAATCTGCGAACGGATCCTAAAGACCTTACTTCCTTAGATTCCAAATTCTCATTTTCAAATGAAGCATTTTTCATTGTTTCCGCTATAGCTCATCTAAAAAAAAAAAAAAAAAAAAGAGTGGCCCTAGGTTAAGATGTGATTATCAGCTCATGTCCACTGGGCCGTTAGTATCCCAAATGTATTAACAGACAAGTTGTTTTTTTGCACCTTCTTTTTCAAATGACAATTAGTATAATTAGTTTTCTCAAAAAAAAATTATAGTAAGAATAAAATTTTAGCATTTTAGTGCTTACCTGTCAGGCCATGGTAAATTGAGGAACTGATTCCACCATCGTGTTACGACGAATGTGACATAGAAGCCAAGAACGAAGGACATGGGCATAAGTCCTGCAGTCTGGTTGCAGTACAAGGATACCTTCTCGAACTGCCTGCAAGTAACTGACAACTGATTGGATACTAAGCATGAATTATTATTTTCTAATATGTTTTTACAGTTACTTAAATCACAGTTTTTCATAGTTTGGGATAATGGGTTAGAAAATGAAGAATACCTTTTAAAACTGCGCAATTTCAAATCAATGGATTTACTAATTCTGATCATTTGAGAGCCAGTTCATGCAGTTTTAGAAAATTTTCTACTGTGCGATTGATATTTTAAATATAAGCTCTTATTCCTTTATATTTTATCTGATGATATCATCCACAGACACAGATATGCATCTTAATGTTCCAGATAAAAAATACTAATTTTGGATGTACATTTAGAAACAGACTTCAGTAGCCGATTGATGAAGTATTAGAAGATACCGGAGGAATGATAAGCGATAGAGATTCCATGTCTGTTTTCTCATAATTTTGTCCAGAATTTTTTTTTTTAAATTTGGACCATGATAAAGTGTTACTAATGGCTTTTTTTTCGGGGAAAGTGGTGTATTTAATTATGGCAAAGCACACTAGGGCTATCTGCCTAAGGGGAGGGATGCCTTCGTGGAGGACTTTCTAAGGGAACCTGGCTAACACGTTACACATGGGGAAAACCACGAAAACCCCCATGCAGCCAGCCCGTTCGCGGGATTCGAACCTCGGACCGAACTACCAGTGTTCACGACTTTACCGCTCGGCCGCTGGCGTGCTTTTTCGGGGAAAGAAATATCATTTTTAAAATACTGGAACTAAAAGATTATTTTGATAACATGAAGAATAGATTTCAGTGTTTTTTCGACATTCTGTAATTAGTAATCTATTTAACTAGAAAATATCTTTAATTCATTAAATTTAGATGTCTTCTTACTATATTGCAAATCAACTAGAAACCAGATTGCGCTTTACGTACTACATACTATTAATGTTATAACTTTGGAGATAAAACAGATGGTATTACTGTATACAAGAGTTCAAGATTTTTTTTATATAACACAGTTTTTAAAGTTGTTAGAAATTTTCTTCTTTCTTATCGCTTGTTTTCGTGATGTAATTGGAAGTACATCCGTTTGGCAATCGAGAGGTTCAGAATTCGAATCCTGCCGACAGGTGTGCTGATTCTTCCTATTTCCTGCTTTGAAATAAGTTTAATTGTTCTACAGAGTGATACTAAACTAAATTTTCATAATGTTAGAATGAAGTTATAAAAGGAGGACAAAACCTTGGTCTTACCGATTTTGTTCAAATTCTGCATAGTTGTTTAGTACCAGATTTTCTAAAACTAATGCGTCAGAAAATAAATTTGGCATTTCGAAAAAAAAAAAAAAAAAAAAAAAAAAAAAAAACCATTTTTAGCGCATAATCCTATTATTTCAAATAATTAATACGCTTAGTGGGAGCTTTATAACTAATACGAATTAGAGCAACCACCGCCAAATTTTCAGAATAAGTCAAATGTTGGCAGTCATGAGGATAATAAGGTAAAAGTAAGTGTTACTGATAACGCATCTGTTGCGTATTTTAGGGCAAAAATAGACGATCAAAATTTAGAGATGAATAGGGTTTTGTGCTTAACTCAATATAGGTGCTACTATAGCACTAAAATCGTTAAAAACGGCATATGGTTAAAACTCGATGAAAAATTCAGTCTGAGTGGTTAAGAAATTTAAAGATGGTCATAAATATGTAATAACCTCACAACCTACAGCTTAAACAGCAGTTACATACGTTAAATAATGACAGAGTGTGAGATGCTGTTTGAGAGCTCAGTTGTTCCGTAAAGAACTACAGAATGTTGCAGAAACATTCAAAGCAAATTTCAACTAAAGAATTGTTCATGAGAATGATATCTGCGAAGTTTACGCGTCATACGCGCAAAGACAGTGAAGTTCTTGTAAAAACTTTTCTGACTAAAGAATGTGATTTGTCAATTAAATTACCTCATCTGACTTATTTCCACACTATTTTTGGCTATTTCCAAAATTAAGTGTCGCGCTAAAAAGATAAAGATTTTCTAATATATAGATAAAAATTTTCTAATATAATAGATTACGAGGCAGGTAATCAACATTATTTCGGAAAATGAATTCTAGAAATGTGAATATGGTTTAAGTCAGAATATACTTGCAGATGTAAGACGTGAATACTTCAAAGGCTGTAGTTTCCACTATCTACATTTTCTCATGTATACTTCTAGAAGCTATAAGGTTTCTATTATTTTAAATAAACAGTTATTTTATGATTTAGATCTGTACTATCACTGAGATTTTCGGATTGTAAGACAGAGCGTTACTAGGTTAGCTAACTCAGACAAGTTTGTATTGTTACGAAATGGCCAGCTGCGGTAAGATAGCTTTCCCGCGACGCGAGTTTAGGGTTGCCAGAGAAGGCAGAGTTACCATATTTGGCGATAAATCACCAATTTGGCGACAAAATTGGCTATATGCCATATACGGATTAAGAACCTTCTAGAACGAATTCTAATCGGTTTAGCCCGGAATGTGCTTGAAAACAGCCCAAAAGCTATATAAACCTTACCTGTACACGGAGTAGCAGTCGATTGCGAGTCTACCGTTGAGGCATTCGAGTCTATCGAGTTGATCGCGAGTCTATAGAGTAGTCTATCGAGAGTACCATCAGTCTAGTGTCGAGTTGCTCGTCGAGTGTATTCTGAGAGTGTCTCGTCAGGGCATCGTTGAGGCATTCGAGTGTATCTTCGAGTGCATCTCGAATTGTAGCGTGGAGAGTCACAAGAGAATGTTGAGTTCCGAGAACGACTGAACCAAGTTGGGAGCTGTAGTCTAGTGCTTTGCCGTGATGCTGTCTGATAGCCTGAAAGCTGCGTTGCTGATTGTTTCAGCGTGTTTGTCGTAGTTTTTCGACGATTGTAAACGTGTTTTTGAGCTGCCCTGAGTAATACTGGTTAATAAATTATGTTTTCCTTCTTCATCAAGTGTTGTCGTCAACCACTTTAAATCCACGAACCCGTACAGAACGCAAAATTATTTTTCGGCTTTGCATTATAGTTCCGACATTTAAATTGTTACGCCTTTATGAAGTTTGAGCGAATTTCCTGTTAAAGCAAATATGAGCCTTTGGCTACTAGATTTAATTTAAAATTTGAGTTTAATATTGCTTTAAATTATTTCGGCAGAAATAATTGGCTTATCCTGTTAAGCACGAGACATGGATTTATTTTCGCAGTTCTGATTTGATGAAAATGTTTGTTAAACCTTCTCGAGACTCTATGCAGCCATAGCGATAATTCGCTTAACGTCTGTTAGGAGTTGTTTCTAGTTTATGCTCCCAAAACAAGTCAAACTTTATAAGGCTCATGAAACTTAAATTTTATTTCTTGTATCACCTTTTGACCCAAAAGTTAGTTTTACAAGTAGACACTAATATATTAAGAAAATAAAATAATAAAACCTAAACTTCGAGAACAATTAAAGAATTCATTTAAAAAAGTTACTCTTTGCTTACTTATCTGTTAAAACATGAGATTCAAAAGAAACACTGAATTGGCAAAACATTAAAATAAAAAGCATGTCTGATCTTACCTTCTTTGTTCTTCTGTCATGTAAAATCTGTAGCAAATACTTATGATAGCATAGGCAGATCCATACATTAGCAATTCTTTGAACACCAGTTTGTATATACTTCCCCGCCACTTAAAAAGCAGTTTGGCGAAGCCCATGAAGCTAGTGTTGGACACATTTTTCTGGTAGGTGACGGTCATTGTCCTTAATTACCTTTTTCCCTAAAACTCCCTACAAGTGAAGAATATGAATATTCGTTAAGATTGGCATATTTCTAGATACGACAATAATGCACAAGGTGTGCCTTGCGATAAATGAAGATCAAGAATATATAATAATAGTGTTTAAGTCAAGACGCCCACACTGTCTCATAACGGACACCCACAAAGTTGAAAGTTTGTTTAGGAAATAATCACTTTGCAGGGTTCAGACAGGAAAGCAAACACCGCAAAATGACATCATAGATCATCTGAAAGAAAAGAATCCTTGTGGTTCCAAACGTTTATTTTTCTAACAAGAAATAAATATTTGAAGTAGATATAAATAGTGTCGTTTTCAATGAATAGATATCTCCTGTAAAGTCGCATTTTTGAGTAGCTTTGAAGCATTTAGCTTTTCTGTATTTGGAACTAAAGTATTAATATAAATAAAACAAACATTTCACCGCAATTTAATTTAAATTTCCATCACCAATGATTTACCTACAATACTTACAATGTATTTCCTGCATGCAGTCGCTATTTATAAAAGTGAAAAAAAGCTGAAGATTAAAACAATGCAGTAGAATTTCTATTTGTAAAAACTGGGTTTAATGTAATTTTAATTAAATAGTTTCTTCAAAAAATATTTTTCTTAGGAAACTAAAATATTTCTTTAGAAAACTTTAAATACTTTGTTCATAAAGGTACGCCAAAAGCAACTAACAGTGTTTGAAAAGTAACAGAATATTAATAAAAAGTGCGGAAAAAGATATTTTCTCACATAACTGAAGTTTAAGATTTTCTGAGCTATCAAGAGTCTCCTGAAGTAATCGCTTCATATATTTCTGAACTGCCTTTTAACTCAAAAAATGTAGCAGCCTTGGGAGGTATAGTGTTTATACGAAGCTCAGTGCTAACCCAAATCTAACAATATAAGTTCCCGCTTTAGCCCTGACTGTATGTACGGCGCCCTTTCCCCGATCTTCGTTAATGTAATATCAGACGTTCTCTGTGGCGCATCCTTGCGCAACATTGTCGGGGATGAACCGGTAGATAGATGCAGCCATTCCCAATGATTACTTAATAAACAAGTATCTGGTTGCTTAAAGGAGGGAAAACAACTCAATAAAAAAAAATTGACTGACCAGGCTTTGAACATGAAAGTAAGCTGTTTCCCTCGGTCCGCTTTCTTATATTACCATATGCTGTGATTTATTATTGCATTTCGTATTTTTACTAGTTTGTTTTTGCCAGTCAGATTGTCAGCTCTACAATTCATTGTCTATGATTTTTTTTTCCTTGCTGATTGATTCGAACTTTCATTCAGCAGATGCTGATAGAACTGTTGAGAATTCATGGACAAGATTTCCACATTGTTCCCTGTCTTAGAAGTTACTGCGAGAAATGGCGCTCTTCGTAGTGGAGTATAACCCAGAGTTCTTTCCCTGTTCCCAGACATAAATCTCCCGTATCTGGTTGAGCTAAAAGATGTAGGCAAGCAAGTCTCAGTCGTAAATGCCGCCCCGGCGACTTTACCAGTGCAGAATATTGATGAGATGGAAGTTCAGAAAGCACGAGTTAAAAGATGAAGAAATCTAATTGAGATGCATGAGTTCCCTTTCTGTAAATCCAAGAATGAGCCACGCAAATGTGGCTCAAATCACATAGCTAGTTGCTATGCATGCCTAAGCAATAGGAAATTCAAGAAAATAGACTATATTCAGAGCGGGTTATACTAAACAGCTCCTAAACGTAAAGCATTAACAAATCTGCAGAGATCGCCGAACTTTTACAAAAGCTCTCAAAGCCATCGCGGTGACTGCCGCAATCACTATTCTAAAAGACTTATAGATCTCATGTATTTTCTGAACTCTAGTCAGGTACCAAACCCATCCGCAACTCTTATTCTCCAATTAAAATTGTCTTCAAACTCGTACTCCATAATAAACTCGCACTCTTCGTATTAAAACTGTACTCTAAAATGCGAAAAATCTTACAACTAAAATGCAAGAATTCCAGAAGACAGAATACAGACGTGCCACGGAGGAGGCAGAGTGCTCCTTTACGTAGTATATTACGCAATGTGTCTTGCGTCTACGGATAATAGTAAGGCGTTCTAGGCGATGAAAGTTCAAATCAAGCCTCTAAGGATAGGAAATATTATTCTTTGCTCTATGTGCAATCCGCCGAATAATATCCTGAGTGCAAAAATATATACTCCTGCTGATGCAATGTCTGGGCATTTTCGGGCACAAATTCTGCTCACTGATATTAATAATTTTATCTCCGTAATGCGATGCTACATGGGTTAATGCCTTGTTCAAATAGCCTGCTGATTCATAGCGACCATTACTATAACAGGGCCATGCAGCGAGCATTATAACTATTCGCGTTTGATAGTTCCCCATAATAAAGGTTTTGTAGCTAACGAATGGAGTTGAAGATATTTAAGAAAATTCAAGTTATAGTAAACCACTAACTTTCCTGTCGCTAACATAACAATTCTAGTTATTATTGCTTTCCTCTTCTACAATATTATCTTTAATTTAAAATGCCTTCTTTCGTTTTCCAAAAATTAGCAGGCGATTTTTCATTTCGTACTTTTATTCTAATACAGGAGATGCTTTCTTTTGCAAGGTTTTCTGAGGAAAATCATAATTAAAAAATTCGCGTTTGAAATGTGATTTATAAATTTAGAAATTAATTCAATGCAAATTCCTTTCTCATATTCCTGGTGATAAATGTCAAAAATATCTAACGTCATTCCATCAAAATATTGTTAAATCATGAATTAAAAGACTTTTTATTATTTAAATCAATCCAATTCAAAATTAAGAAACAAATATTCTTAAAAACTACATCTATTGCTTTCAAAAAGCTTAATCTATTTGTCTAATTATGTAATAGCGTAATCTAATTATGTAAGTTGTAATCAAAAGGTTTCCTTTTGAGACTCCGTAAGTGCAATAGGTACACATATTCGGGTGCAGGAATCAATTCACAATAGACAGATTCAATTTGAAAGATAAATATGTTACATTTTTTCCAAATGGCAACAGACTGGAATGAAAAGTGAAACGACGCATTTATAGTAATGCGACTCAATAATTGTTTCGAGACTGCTTGCTCTTTTGGACTAATAAAAAACAAACTCAAAATTTAAAATTCGATTTTCAAGGAGAACATATTCGGGTGCAGGAATACAATTGGTGAAGGCCTGGGTGCCTTACACGCCAACTTCTTTTCACAGTGCGACGAACTCACATACTCATGGATTCTTGATTTTTAGGAATAAGAATAAGATAATATTAAAATAAATACATATTCAGACGCTACTCTTTTCGAAAATGAAAGAAATGGACTTATATATCGATGAATAGACTACTGTAATAGAAATATGTTACTATATCTTCTTCATATTTCTGCGAATATTCTTTCCCTTAAAGAATTCTTCACGAAAGTGTCCTTCCCATTACATATAGCTTTGCCATAGTATATTAAATAAATAAATAAACAAGAAGATATTCTTTACTTTAATAATATTTTCCTATATCTTTCTTAAAGAACACAGGATGTAATACACATAACATACGATATACATGTCAGCTGAGTGTTTCATGTTAGCAATAAACTGAAGGCAATAAACGGAGCTCAACTTCTAGTAGAGCTCTAACAAATTTATTAAGTTTTGGGGAAGTCAAAAATCGCATATGGATTCGCGATAAGGTATACTATACCCGTGTTGGGCAAACGTCAACTGTATTTCAAATAAAAAATAGCAATTAATTGATTCCTAACTAAAACATCACTAATTGAAATCTTTATTTCATCTAAACGTTAATTCGTTTCATTTTTAAATCAAAAATACTCTTTATTATAGATACTTGTAACTAAGAAAATTCTGTTATAATGTCTCCCGGGGAGGGACTACTATTGCAAGGAAAGTGGCCTTGCATTCGAAGCATTAATTGAGTTTTCTGGAATTGCTTTGAATAATGAACTTAATACAGAAATTTATGACTTTTACTGCTACCTTTTTTACAGGTTGCGTGAGAATTGGCTTTTATGTTTCTATGGAATGTTGTCTAACAGCTATTGCTTCGCAGAGATTTTTTCATTAATGACTTTCAAATATTTAACTTCTTCCTTATTAAGAAAGATTATTCCATTTGCGTGTAAATTGCTGCAGTATTCCAAGATAATCAAGCTTGTAAATTCTACTTAAAATAATTATATAAGTTGTAATCAAAAGGTTTCCTTTTGAGACTCCGTAAGTCCAAAAGAACACCCTTCTGTAAAAGTTTCTCGAAGCATAAAATAATTTAAGATAACCAGCTTTATTTCATCATCCGAATGAAGTTCCGATAAGAGACTTTGTCAGATGATATATTCAGAATCGTTTCAAAGACTATTTCAAAAGAACAAAGATGAAAAATGTGCCAGTAATAAGACAAAAGTAGTAAGAAAAAGTTCCCAATTTAAGGATATCCGGCTTTTATGTAACGTTCTTGGTAATATGAAGGTGAATACTGATATGAAATAAAATGAGTCCTTTCGATCAGCCTTAATTTCCCGTCGAAATCGAAAGCTTAGAACTAAGTAAAAGTTCACCGGTTTAAATTTCACGGCATTATCCTCCTACAGAAATAGCTGCACATTTAAAGCATATATGTCATCAATGCATATAAAATATATAAAACTCTGAAGGTAACTAGTATTTTACTAACACATATGGTGACCGTGCCCTAAAGTAGGCTCACCTTAAACACGGAGGAGCTCATACACGCAATTGCTGTGCTGTCGAACAGAAATTATTTGATTATTCCAGGTAATGATTAGCTTGTAAGGACTTTTATGTTAATTAACTAGTTATTTATAATTTCAGCACTTTAACTTTTCCTTTCCGTATTCCTTACCAAAGTACAAATGAGTAGCCAGAACTTTTGAGGTTTTGGGATTTTAAGCGTGTTTCTGGCTTCGCTTGCACACTACGGTTGTTAGTTAGCTCTAACCTGACAGCTCCCAGGTTTA